CCCACAGCTGCCCTCAATGCCTCTGGGATGTAAAGCACGAATCCTTATTCAATTGCTTACATTTGCCCTGTGTCCTTCAGAATGACATATCTGTAGGAACAGCTCTTCTTTTTGTGGCAAATGTCTTCTTTAATGTTACTGAGTGCTTAGAGAAATTGGAAAGTTTACTGTGAGTGAAAGCCTACCTAGGAATATCAGGTATTACCCTGAAGTACTGTGTTGTAACCTGGGCTGCATTGTAGATGCTTTATGTATGGTGTGTTCTGCCAAAATTTGTCTATGCTGTGGGAAAAGGTTGCTGTAAGTATTCTTCTCTGTAGTTTAAAAGCTATTACAGGGCAGAGAGAAAAGCTCACCTCCCAAGGAGGTGAAGATAAATTATGAAGTGTTTGAGATGTTCTCAGAGGCTACATTCAGACACCTGCAGAAAATGTGTATGAAGTAATTAATAATATTTTATTCCCTATGTGGTACATAAAGAATGAATGAAGGACAGAAAACAGGAGAGTAACTTTATCATCACCAAATGAAAGTAAATTTTATTGAAAATGCAGGGAAGATTGTCTAATTTTGTGATCTAGACCAAAATCTCGTTAGGTGCCTGATTTTATAAACCTCAACATTTTATTTAACTGTAGATGTAGCTACGGTATTAGTAACTGTCGACTGAGTTCTTGCTGAGAAGAGAACTGTCTCTATCCTGCTATTAGGCCCAGGGATCTCCAAGCCAGAAAGAAGCATGGCAGAAAGAGGATTAGAAAAAAGACAATTAAAGGATTTAGCTGCCATTGAGGAGAGAAGCTAGAAAATATTTTGCAAATAGAAAGTATATGTTGTAATGTGTGTGCAGATTTCTGTTTGCTGTGGAAGGGACTAAGACTGCCAGAAATGGTTTTGCTTTTAAGAAAATCACGCTGTTTCTGTTGAATTTTAAATGCTGTTAAAAAATTTTAACAGGAGTATTTTCCAGGCACAGTTCATGCAAATATGACATTTGCCACAGGGGCCGTTCACTGTGGTCCTGTGGTTAAATTTCCTGCATCTTGCACAGAAAAAGCACTTCTGATTCAAGGATATTTTAACCCCCAAAAAGTTGAAGGAGGAAAACGAAGTAGAATCAAAAAGATGGCAGTTGTATCTGATAAGGAAGACCAGTAAAAGGGTTAATGGTAAAAATATATACAATAAGCAAATTAAAAAATGAGTGTGATCATCTGTCCTCTCTGTCATTATAATGAATGAACATGTATAGAACTGAGAAAGATTAAGAAGTATACACCACAGTTTATTAAAAAGAATGACCTCTTTGTATACCACAGATTGGAGTTAAACTGTGGTACTCATGCCAGCATAAATCATTATAGCTGTTAGCATAGCAGAAAAATTGACAAAAGATGGAATGTCTGAATAGAAAAGAAAAAAAAAATCCCAACTTCTTGTAAATTTATTATAGTAGCAGAGAATGTCACGTCAGTAGTATTTATTCTTTTGATTTTAGACTTAGCAAAATTTTGAACCGCTGATCCAGTCAAATTCGAAGATGAATTTGCCATATCTTTGCACTACTGGTTTTGGATATCTTCTCTGGGGGCATTTTGTAGTGACCACAACTGGATTAGATTAATCTTCAGAAGGGCGATTCCTATAATTTGTAATTAAGCACGTGAGACCTCTGCCTGCAGGTTAGGTGAGAATAACCTTTACTTTCATGGTAATGCTTTCTAGTCTTAGCAGGGATAAGTAGAATTGCACATCATTGAATTAATCACACTTCTAGTGAATATGTGTACACTAATTAACTTACGTACTAACTTGCTGTATGTAAAAGGAAATGAGCTTGAAAGGTGTACTAGTCATATGCAAATGAGAAAGAAAACAAAGCTTTTCTGCTCTATTGAGAGAGAACTCACAGCATGCAGATTATAGGTGTGATCATGGAGTATATAACATTATATTACATTTCTAAACCACCATGTTGCTGATCTATTTTTGCATGAGAAGTTGCATACACCTTAAGGGAGCAGATGGCGTTAACTGCCTTTCTTTAACAAAAGTGGTCTGGTGATTTCTGCAGATGGGGATGAGGGGAATAATGATGGAGGTTAATAAGCTCCGTTACATACGAAAAAGCAAAAACCATTGAAGTTTTCCTTTTGTGTGGTGTTTCCTTCAAGGGAAAGATTCCTTTAATTTCCCTTGATAAGCATCATATGCTATTTATCTCTTTTCACGTAGTGCCACCAGCAATGTAGTAGATGCTACAGAATCTGAAAGAAAACAGTCTCATTTTTGAATGTGCAAGAATGTATCCTGACCCCCTTTCAATTCTCCAATGCAAGTGAAGTTGCAGTGAAATGCTGTTATTCTCTACCCCTGAAAGTTACTGGCAAGCCCCCAAGGCAGCACATGGTGTGTACAACACTAAGAATCACCCATCTTCCTTGGCTGCATTAGCTCATGGGTCAGCCTTCCCACTGTGAACATGCAGCAGAACAAGTTGAATTTCAGGATATGGCAAAGCAGGTGACGCCTGCTTTCCTTGGGTTTCATTCCATGAGGTCTGGATTGGCCTGGTGTCCTGGTCTTTGGCAGTCATAAGGAAGGTGCATCTCAAAGCAGAGCCTGAGGCCTCAGGCCGGTTGGGTCAGTGCACACTCCAGCACATGGGGGCTGTAGGGATGGGGAAGGCTGCCGTGGTTCCTGGTGACCTTTCTGTCCTCAGTATCCCATGTGGAGTGTTCTGCCAGCACCAGAGGGTGTGTGCTGAGTTGGATCTTCTCTTCTTGTGTGAGAGTAGGTACTTTATTTCCAAAGTAATAGTAGGATTTTTTGCTTTGAAGTTCTGGATAAATAATATTGGTGCTCCTAGAGCCATATGTATCCTCTGAGTTTACAGCAGTGCTTTACTAATGCCGTGAGTCCTTAATGTGCCATTGTGGCTGTGCATATGGGAGGATATTATCTAAGTGGATCATGTGTTATTTGAGACAGTTTCCTTTAAGGGAAATGAGAGATGTAGGAGAACCCAATCCAGGTGAAGCTAAGGGCTAGACAGCATAACTGCTTCTGCAGCTTTTTCCTCAGATTTTCAAGTAAAATGAAGAGCAGTGAGCTATCAAAGTATACGTAAATACAGATGCATTTTATATATATTTGAATACAAAATTGATTTATCTGAAAAATGCCTTAAGTATTTATAGAACTTACATATATACATATATTATAGATGTGAAAAACATCTGGAAGATCCTCTATCCCAGAGGCTCAGTGGATTGCTTCCGTTCATGTTCTTGAGTTGATCTGCTCCATTCTCCAGTTGTTTTAACTGTCTAACAGCTGGTCAGTTTTCAAGGCTTTTTCTCCATGCTTCTGGAAGCTGCCAGATCCTCAGGTGACAAAACTCAGGTGGATGAATGGGTTCTGTGACTGCTATGTTTACTTTCCTCTTTCAGTACCTTTACTATTTTCCTCAGACAAATGAAGTAAGAATTCCTCTGAAAATTACTTGGTGCATTAGATGTTGTAGTTTGACTTCTCATGTCAATAAAGCATGCTAATCGGAGTGAAGTAATCAGAGCTTGTAATGACTGTTAAATTCTACAGAATATCATTGAAATGTTTCACCATGTATGTAAAATAGCTTAATTAAGCTAGTGTATTCATAACTGGTGTGTATTTATGGACATTTATGCCAGCAGCAGACGAGAAAACTTCTGAAGCTTCACTATCATGATATTTGCCTGACATCAGCATGCACTTTGCACGTGCAGGTCACCACTTTGCAACCTTGTTCTGTATGTTTTGTGTTTGGGTGTCTTTTTTTTTTTTTTTTTTTTAATGTGTGAATTTCCAAAATAAAGCGGCATTCTGGTAAACATATTGGAGAAGAGGAGAAAATATAAACTGCTTTTGGACAAAATGCAACTACCATTATAGAGATACAGGCAACGGATTTAGTTTCACTGCGAATTACATTATTGGCAGCTATGCTGCCAGTGACCCCAGTCTGCTTTAATTCATTTTTAGCCTGTTGTAATGAAGCGGAAATCACTTCGTTTTTCAAAAGCCTAAAAAGCCGTAGAGATGGTGAATAATTCCACATTCATTTCTTAGTAGTTCTGTTCATTCCTGTAGGAAGCAAATAAGGAGAAATCAACTAGCAAGCCTATACTTTCTGAGAACCCTGGGGTGAGGGACTCTGTGTGCCTTCAAAATGTTAATGACTTTGTCTGCTGCAGTTACTAACTGCTAAATATCACATTTTGATACCGATCTGGAAATGTTTGCCTTTACACCTGGTGACCTCTTTATTTTGGTGTCCTTGTTCTCGCTGCCTTATTAAGTTTGGTGAATAGAGATAGAAAACAGAGTGATTTTGAGATCCACATATTTTGATTTCTACAGCACATATTAACCCACCCACCAGATATTGAAGTGCAACACTGATCACAGGGTTTCCTGTTTAATCACTGGTAGATTTGGATTTTTTCAAGTGATTCGCTGTTCCTAACAAAACATAAACTGTTTTCCCAACTATTTGTTTTCTATGAAATTTAAAAAAAATAAAAAACAAAACAAAACAAAAAAGCCTCTATTTATGATACTCTTGTGTAGGAAAAGCAGCTTCTTTGCAAGTGATCAAATGTTCAACTTCAAAGCTAAGGCTCTAATTCTACAAATGCAAGGTTAGATATGTAACCTAAAGCAAGTCTCCTCATTAGCACTTGTCAGGAGTTTTACATTAATCACATACGTAAGTGATAAATAATTTGGAGCCAAAATAGTAGTCACAAATAACCTAAAATCTACCCTTGTTTTGTGTATTTCATGCATTTGAATTATAATGAATACGTTTTACGTAAGTTGGTGGATTCCTCTGTGTAATTAATTACAAAGCCTTAGCACACAGCGTAGTTAAGAAAGGTATACATTTTCTGTTGTTTTGAAACTTAGATCTCCTAGATTTTCAATTATTTACTTTTCTTTAACCGCCTTTCTAGGAACAAACTTCACCCTTGCAGAACTGGGAATCTGTGAACCCTCTCCCCATCGAAGCGGCTACTGCTCGGACATAGGAATACTCCATCAAGGCTATTCCTTGAGCACTGGCTCTGATGCTGACTCAGACACGGAGGGAGGGATGTCTCCAGAGCATGCAATCAGGCTGTGGGGAAGAGGGATCAAATCCAGGCGAAGTTCTGGTCTGTCAAGTCGTGAAAACTCGGCTCTCACCCTCACCGACTCCGACAATGAAAACAAGTCAGATGAGGAAAACGGTAGGGCTTTTTTTTTTTTTTTATATATATATATATATGTGTGTGTGTGTGTGTGTATATATATTCAAGTTGCACATGTGTAATAACATGAGTGTCCTTCTAAAAATTAGCTTTTCACTTTTCTTTCTCTGTTTGATTAAAGCTGCTTAGGAATACTCTTTTAATGTCAATATCAGGAAGCAATAACATGCTTATTTCATAATATGATATATGGTTTATCATATAATTTACTTTCCAGGTAATAACCCTTCACAGAAAACTATATTCAGAATTTATTAACTTAAACTTAATGATGAGAAATCAGATTTTTTTAAAAATAGTATATTGTGTGATTTCTATTCACAGCTTGAAGTAATATTAATAATCTGCAATATGCTGGTAGCTGTAACAGTGGTGCTATTTGCTTTCACATGAGTTTTTAAATTTTGAACTTCTGCACTTGGTTATTGTAGATATAAGGGGCTGTTGAGCAAACTTGTGCATCACACTGAGGCAAAGAGTAGGTGATTAATTACGTAGAAATGAGACTTTAGACAATGCACAAATCATTGTTGATAAAGCATCTAACTAGTGTTGATGAAGCTCCATCAAGCCAGCTGTCCTTTCAGATGCGTATAGCACAGGCTTGTTTCTCATGTCTGCTAAAAATGTATCAGACAAATCATCTGTGCGCACATCTTTTTAGAGACGAAAAATAGTAAGAATGGATTTGCTGCCATTTGTCCTCCGTGCCACAGAGTAATGAAGATGCAAACTCAGCTTAGTTAAAATATTAAATAAAAGCTTTGATGTTTGCCGTTATGCAAAGGTGGAGAGGAGTCTCGTTAATGTTGACGTTGGAGCAATTACTCAGGCAGCCAATACCAGGTAACATAACCAGGTCTCAGCTACACATACTGCTTACCACAAAATTTAATTTATTGCATGATGTTACTTAATAGAGGAGGATTTCTTTCCTGTTTATTGGAGGCTCCTCCCTACATTCATTGGCAGCTGTCTCAGTTTCTGCAAAGCAGAGGTGTGGTAGGTACTGGAAACTTAATCAACTCCTAGTTAAAGCAAACAAGGTAAAACTGAATTACACTTTCTGTATTGATTGAAAAAGTTCAGAAAAGCGCAATTGATTTTTTTCTGCAAGAGCGTGCGTTTTTTCCTGATTTAAATTGAATCTTCAAGCAACATCTTTTCTCTATAGGCATAGCAGAATATATTTTTTCATCAAAACTGAAGAGGAAATATGTATATGCTAGCACATGGAAACCATGATTGTAAAAAGGTGTTGTTGATTGGCTAATTAATTAATTTTGTTTTTAAATAGTACAGTTTAAACCAAGAAGTCAAATTACATTTACTTCACTATAGTTTTGATAAGCTCAAACAACAATTGGAATTCATTGCTCTTGGAGGAATTCCCTTCATATATGGGCAGTTTTTCTTCATTGCTGAGGGAAGCCCTTTTCCACACCTTTTGTCTCAGGAAATTTGATCTCAAGACCTAACTGTATAGTGTTGCAGACACTGATGAAAGAAGTCTGTTTGCTTTATTTTGGTTTTTTTCTTTTTTTCATCACAGTGAGTGAATTATAATTACTGAGTAATTGGAAATACAGTGCACTGAATCCATTTTGAACAGATAATTTTTCTAACATTGAAAAGAATAAGCAAAAGGAACAAGTAAAAGGAAGGAGGACGTGATAAAAAAGCACGGAAGAAACGAAATAGTGTGTGGAATTCACTTTTACATGGCAAAGCTCTTGTGATAAGTGTTTATGTCTGGCTGTTTAAAAAAAGATCACGCAACTGTCTGTATACACAGAGGTGTTGACTTCAGTAAACTTTTTAGTCTTTCTTTCTCACAAATTCTGGTTAGCTCAAAAATCAATGCCTTTTCACATCACTGACTTTATGAAGTTTTGGGATGTATTATCATATAGATTGACAGTTGCCCCACTGGTTCAGCACCGCAGTGTGGGCACTTACAAAACCATCATTAATTTCTCGCACTTGTGCCCAGCAGTGGTTTCCTACATAATAAAAACTGTGTCCTTCAGAAGCAGATCAATAACTTGCTAGGTATTCATCTTGAAGAGGAAGTAACAAGAATCTGTATTCCAAGAGAAATTTACTTTCTGATATTGTTTGAGATTTGCAAGGTACTGGCATAAAACAATACGTTTCTTGCTACAAGATTTTATCCATTTATGCCTACCAATATTAGGGGAACTTGTGATGCTTAGACTTCACTGAATTTATTTAAAGAGTTGTTGAAGTTTTTTTCCCTTGGTATGTTACTATTGTTACAGAACAGTAGTTAAAGTGCAAAAGGGGCAATTTATGTTACTGCACTTGGGGGGACAAAAACTAACAGGAACAAAAAGAAAAAAAAACCCTTTCACTTCTCTTATTTTCTACACATATTATGTATATATGAATATATGAACATGTATACGTCATTTTTTGTACGCCTCTAAGTAGCCCAGAGGTGACTTGATTTCTAATACTTGCTCTAACAGTTTGATGTTGTACTGATTCAAATCTATTCAAAAGCTTTTCACCATTTTCTGCCTTCTAGATTTGGTGTGATGTAATTTGATCATAGATTAGAAATTTGTGAACCTTGAAATATCAACATGTTGAAAATGCTTATAGATACATGGAAATAATATGAACTCATTTAAATTCACTTTTACTGGTACACTACCATTCTTCCTAACAAAACAGAAGATCCAGTGTGAAAAGAAGTGCTTTTTTTTTGTAAGTCTGATTAGGCTCTAAATTCTTAACATATTTTGCAACTTTTAATGCTGTCTCTATCTAGTTATCTCTTCTTTAGGCATAGCAACGTAAATATTTAAAAGCAAATCTGTCACCAAATTATTATGCAGCATGATCTGTTGAGCAGTGAGATTTAAGTGAATCGAAGTTTTCGTGATACATCCAAGTGTAAACAGCCAGTTAGAAACATAGCTCACCTCTGATGTCATGTGCCAGCATTGTAGAGAGCTGTTTCAGTACACCTGCAGACACAGTGTGTAGGGGATGTACCAGAGGGCTCCTGAATGTTTACTTTTGTTTATTAAATCCCGTAACTGTTTGTTCCAAAACATAATGGAAAGCCTTTCAGTAGCAGCATTTGTCATCCTTTGTCGCATGGTCAGTCTTAAATCTATAACATTCCTATTTCCAGAGTAAAGCTTAGGTTTTGATTATTTTTAGGTAATGACTTAGAAGCATGTGTTCTACCAGAGCTGCCACTTCTTTCCCCTCCTCCCCCTCCCCCCCCAACGGGAGTTTTTAAAAAAAAAAAAAAAAAAAAAGAATTAAGCCATAGTAAAATCAAGTAACTTGCAATTTAGGAATGGCAAGGAAACAGAACATCACAATTAAGGAGAAGATAGGTACAGTATGCACTGGGGACAGATCTGCAGTCTCTGTGATACCTGTGAGAATCTGTGTTTAAGTTTGAAATCCACTGTAAAACTCTGAGATTTTGGTAGTTCTTTGTAGGTGAAGCGTGTGTGAAGGAAGTAATTCTAAATCTGCAAAAGTAGTTCTGTGTTGATAGCCCAGCTATTAAGGGGTGAGGTTCCAAACAGGGCTACATTACCTGAATTAATCTGGAGACTCCTGCTGCTTAATCCAGTAGTGCCATACTCTTAACTTCTCATTTCATCTCCCTTTTTTTGGAGACCTTCCCTAGCTGTTGGAGGCAGCTGGTCTCCAGCACCAAGGGTAAGGATTCAGGTGCTATGGGAATGTGCTGCAGGATGCTTCTCAGAGAAATGATTATCAGGTTCAGCAAGTGCATCACTTTGGTATTTTTTTATTGTAGTAAATTTCAAACCCTTGGTTTGAATACCAGAAAATACCACAAGTACATCCTATTTATTAAAAATATCTACAATTAAAATATATAATGTATTAAGTAAAATGAAGTATGGAATATTGCAAGGTAAAATATGAGAAACTGTATTTCTCTTAAATTTCTTATTATATCTTACAGAGGAAAAAAAGGAAATCATGTTTTGTTGTTGTTTTTTTTTTTTTTTTTTTCTACTGTGAGTTTTCTGGTGTTGATTTCATTTTGTCATTTCTCCAATGTGTATGTAAAGTGGATCTTAAAAAATCAAAAACAAATCTTAATTCAAACTAACCTCATACTTTATGGATACTTTACTTTTATAAGGAGGGTAACCAAGGCTTTTTCCAGGTTGTTGTTGAACAACAGACTTAAATTTATGATAGAAAAGGAAAGGTACTGCCACATCAAAGTAATGTGTGGAGGCATCAGACCATCAGATGACAGCTGAAGAGTTTATTTTCTTATTTTCACTCTTTAAATTTTGACATGCTGTTCTCAATATTTCCTTATTTTAGTTTTTATTCAGTGTGCTATTTCACACTTCATAATTTGCAGAAAAGCTTGTGGCGAAACTGTGATTCTGCTCTTCAGAAAATTTTGATTTTGTCTTCTGCAGGATAACCTCTGAGTGTGATAAGACCAATCTGAAAGTAGGTTTTAATCTTCCTGACAACAGGATTTTGTTTATGTTTAAGAAGTTAGAGTTAATTTTTATTCCTAAATATTTCTGTTAAAAAAATACTTGCTTTGGGCTGTGGGGAAGTGAATTATAAAAAAAAAAAAAAAAAAAAAAAAAAAAAAAAACCACAAATTAACAAGTTGGTGAAACAGTGAAATTTCAGTAGGATCAGATCTGCAAAGTCTCAGGTCAAGTTAGGAAAAAGAAGAATATCTTTATTTTACTCTCTGTGTGCAGGAAGCAGGGAAGCTGTGTGCTTGCTGTATGTTGCATGGTAGACAGTTTCTGCCATTTGTGGTCCCTGGGCATGTTGAGCACTTTTATCTCCCAGACCTACCCAGGTCCCAGTTAGCTTGGAAGCAACAGGAGGGGCAGAGAAGAGAGGAAGAGCTATCACAATCATGTTATCTTTTCATAGCTGCAAAAGTGTCCAGATGGTCTCAAGGATTTTAAATGAAA